AAACTGGGTTAAAACCAATATTTATGAACGTTTGTCGTTATCAGTTAAATTAAAATACATCATTAAGCAAAGTACGAAATTGCACTGAGAACACGTTAACAATGTTCAACTCTTCATTGATGTGGACAATTTTCTCAGTGTCACAGTGATAATGCTGCTAATTTTTATTCCTGCTTTAAAGAGGGTTAAGCAACAGGGGCTATTGCGTACTTCGGTGGTCGACCGTCTGAATGCAGACGGTGTGCCAAACAAATCACATTACAGTGATCTTTAAAACAATGAAAAAGTCCTTGAGTTGCTAGTGAGGGACATATTACTAAGTTGCCCAGCCGAAAGTAGATATATTTTCTCCCAGGGTGTACATCCCTGCCCGACCATATTAAGGCAAATTCGGACTCTTAAGAGTGCCTAGGGTTTATGACTCGAATGTAGTTTTATAATTCTCGTCTTTTGTCGAACCAGACGAATAATGCTCAAGCAAATCTCGCTGATAACTGTCACCAGTTTTATAGAAAATATGCAATATGAATGAGACCCTTGTATCGGACATTTTTAGGCGATAGATATCTGGAACGGTTTGAAACCATAATCGAGCATCTTCGGGATCATCTGAATAAGCAAACAAAGACCGAGGATAGGAGTAGAATAACACAATATTCCCATAAAATAGAGCCTGCTTGGGAAATACGAAGAATGAATCGTGAGCAACCGGCAATGTTGGCGATCTAGTTAGAGACACTCTTCGGATGACAACAAAATTTTCCCGGGTGTTGACGGCTTGTGGTGCTCTATACCGTTCCTGGTGACCGAATAAAGTGAGGAGACGAATGATGCGTGTGTTCACTCCTTCCGTGCAGTTTTTCATGTTCACGTTATACTTTGACGTGGTTTCCTCCACTCCAAAGCAGCCAAATAAATATGAAGTAAATCAGAAGCTGTAGGACGACATTGGGTGAAATCCGTTAGTACTACCTTCAATCACAAACTCAGAGATCGTACAATTTATCCACTATGTTTGAGACATCGCGCGATCCCTTGCATCTAAAGTCATTTTTCGAATTTATTATATTCAAGAAACTTAAAGCTGCAAAACATTAAATTTCGAAGTAAAAGACCATAGATTACGGCTTGAACACAACAAANAACACAACAACGATGACAATTAATCGAGCAGTCAAAGTTGATCACTACGTTAACTAACTTTAACCAATTCTGATTGCCATCCGTCTTCCCAAGGAAAATAAAATGGTTTTCGTTCTGCTCTCAACATGTGATCTTGAAATGAGGATATAGTGCGTTTATTTTATTCTATCTACAGTCGCAGTTGAGTCACACCTAATATTGCTAATTATTGTTCCATCAGAGTTCTGTGTAATGTATAGTAGCTGTTGGTTGACCGACCATTGTTAGTCTGCTCTCCTACTCCAGGTCAGGCGTTCGAATTAGCGTTTTTTATTCGTGTTCCGATTAAGACTGTTCGGCTTAATCACACCCCCACATTTAGGCGTTCCCATTAAGCGCTTCATCAAATTAGTTGTCTTAGCACGCTGGCTTACCCTCATCTAATCTTCATGCGGTCAATGGTCACAGGAATACTAGCGTGATTGTGTGGCAGACATCTGCGTAATCATCATCGGTCAATGGTTCTTATTTCTGGTACTCGCCCGCATTCTCGTCTGCTCCATACGGGTTCGAGCATACAACTCGTGTCCGTATACGACCGGCACCCGTTGGGCAGCGATTTGGTTTTACCCCCTGCCAGTACTGCGCTTGTCATATGTTGCTCATCAGATAACAGACAAACGGTTCATCTAATGATCACAACGAATATGAATCTACGTTTCTTTCTATTTAACTTGCGAAATGACCGCGTTCATTTTCCAACAGTTCTTTTTGACCACCAAATGATACTTGGTTGTTTTACATGAGCTGTGCAATCGGGAACAGTCTTACTACAAAATTGGATCAAATAAACCTTTCATGCAGCTAAAAGCACTTGTTGACTGAGGGGTTTGATTTGCTTCAGTGGTATTATTTTAGCTAAACTCAGTTGAACTAGCGATGTTTTTTTCGGATGTGTTGATCGATGTAGTCAAGCCCGCCTAGTACTACGTGTTCTTTGATGAATTGTCGTGCGGTGGCCCGTATCACCGTGTTGTTTTTCTCATGTGCTCAGTTCTCAGTGACCGAAAATCGGTCCGGAGTAGGATGGAATTTGCTAATCTCTAGCTCTCTAGCTGCATGCTATCACTTAGGTGGTCCGATCGTGTTGATTCCTTTACGTTCCTTTACGTTTGCACCGGAGAGTTTCGTTGTATACAGAGTAAACGAAGCGCAAATCGTAAAGCTTTTTCGACTTGGTTGGGTCTCTTCAATGCATTACGAAACCATCGACCCCATTGAGGATCGAAATAATGACCTCATAGGTGGAACAACCACCCAATATTAATCTAACTTGTAGAAAGTTAACCAAGTCTTTACCCCCTTTTTCTATACAACCCATCTTTGCGTACTTGTTTTGGGATATCACACCTCGTTCTTCTAGGTACTAACCTCCCGAATGATGACTCAGTTATAAACAGTCCTGACCTTGATAGTTATTACTATTTATTGAGCAGCAAATATGTCTGCGGATAATTGTAGGCTGTCAGGTATTCAGTATTACTTTTGCCTATTCTCATCGAAATTCAGTGTAAAACGAAATTGCTCGTTGAAGAAGCAATTTTTTTCAACGCCTCACCATATATCGGTCCTCAGGAGTTTGGTGTCTATGGCTTGGCCCTAATCAGATCTGACACAGAGGGGAGATGTGTGTGAACTGTTTCTGTTTCGTTGTCGGTACGGTGATTCGCTAAGAGACAGCAACCGAAGGCACATTTCACTTAATTGTTTGCTGCTCTGAGTGATCTTGATGGAACTACGACGGCCTGCAGTTGAACGCTGACCGTTTTGACGTTATCAAGATGACACAAAATTAGGATCGAAAATACTCGACAAATGTGTATCTTCTGTAGGGTCATTTTACTTTCGGGTTTGGGACCGCCTACAGGTTACTCGTGGCGCGTCCTTCCGGATCAACTCTACAAAGATCCATCTATTTTTCCACCTGAGTCTTGTGTTCTTCAAATGCCTTACCTATATGTATCGGCGTGATAACGAATAATTGAAAACGAGCATGCTCATCACGGAATTTCATCGTACACTGTGCGTCCACTACTTGCGTTTGAACTAATCATTATATGACATCCCTTCGTCACAGCTCCCGCTCGCATTGTGGGAAATAAGTCTAGAGTGGTTCTCGTGATTCCCGATCCATGTTCCGAAATCGGTGACGGTCGGTGATTGGTACCTCAAACCATATCCTATCTTTCCAACAATTCATTTCTGTGAAGAACAGCAGACGAGGCGAACCCCAAAATCACGAAGACCTGTTCAGTGGTGGAAGACGGTAACCTAAGCCCCTAACTTGAAGTGCCGAACCACATAAGGCCCAATTAACTTGAGCGTGGTATTAAACCGAACTCCAAATAATGCATCTGACTGTATCGTTTACCTTATTCTGTGCAGTCAAAGAAACTGTCTGTTTCCTTTGTCACTCGAGTCTTTGTACATCCTCCTTTTAACTTTGTTGTGGTTCTTCGTCTGGAATTTCGAATTTTTCTTCCGTCAAACTCCCGGGGTAATTCTGAATGTGCTCGTGCAGTCGTCATTGGGTTAAACCAG